AAAAGTAATTTCAATAGGATTATGCTTGTTTAAGATTTGAATTTGTAATAAAACCTCATTAAGTACAGTAATTGGTAAAGGGTAGTCTAGATAAATAAAGTATCCAAAGTTTAGAATATTTTTCAAGAAATGCAATTCTTTTACTTTCAAGTACACAGAGTAATGAACTATAAAGTTAATACTTAGATCAGAATCATTTGTAATCAGCATTTTAATTATAAACAAATGATAGTGGGTTTTTTTATCTTAAAAATAGTTTGCTCTCTAACCTACACTTAAGTTGTCTCCCTACGATCTTAATTATACTGTTAATTTAGTCAGCCCTTTTCTTATAGATAGTAGGAAAACTTTGACCTTGTTATGAATTCCAAAGCGCATCTAAATTAGTGAGTTTTTATTATATTTACTTATACTACCATACCTGCTTTGTAGGATTGAAGTGTTCAAGTTGTGCAGTTCCCATGGTTGTCCTTATTTTGGATTATGTATGCTCTTCCTTCTATTCATTACCACCAACCCCTCAAGAATATAGCCCTTCCCAACTTAATTTATTTCTTATTACTCCCCAGCACACCCTGTTTTTATCACTTAGGTTTATCTGTTCCTTTTCTTCCCCCCTCCAACATTCCATGCTAATGTCTCTGTGCTTTGTCTTTTATGCTTACCATTTGATTCCTTACTTCCTCTTTACTGCATATTCCCCTTGACTTATCTGTCAGATTTTACCTCTATGAAGCCTTAAGAGCAACTAGCTTGAGGCTTGGAGTCAGGAAGGCCTGAATTGAACTGTGGCCTCAGACACTTACCAGCTCAGTAATCTTGGGCAAGAAACTTAACTCTGTTCACTTCAGTTCCTTATCTGTAAAATGAGCTAGAGAAGGAAACCACTTCAGTATCTTGGCCCAGAAAAACCCAGACAGGGTCACAAAGAACATGAAATGACTGAACAACAACAAAAATGAAGCCTTGTGTTACTATTCTAGCCCACCCACCACTTCTTTCTCTTTTATTGACCCCTACTGCATTTATAGTCATGACCACAAAATTTATCAGTTAGTGTTCTATAATGTGTTTCATGGCATACAACTGGACCATGACTCTGGATGAATATACCTCATTTCAAAGAAACAGGATAGATAAAGATGGGGGGAGGGGAAGGGAGGGAGAAATATCATTGTATATTAAGAAGGTATACACATATGAGGAAATTTAGGGACCAGAGGGAAGAAACATGACAGAAAGTATTAGGTGAAGGTCAGTGAAAGGAGAACCATTATTTTGTCATGGGAATATTCAATATACCACCTGAAAAGAAAAAAAAGAAGTAAAGGAGTTTGGGAAACATAACAAACCTGGCACAGAGGCATGAAAATGTAATGATAGACGACTTCAATTAAACAGACATCTGCTGGAACTCTCTGTCTCTGCCTAAAGCAGAGCAATTAATAATTTCTTGACTTGCCTTGGTGATGATTTCATTCTTCAAAAGGTAGAAGAACCAACAAGGGGGAATTCTATTCTGAATCTGAATCTCAATAATAGGGAAATTGATGGGAATCCTGAGGCAAAATGACCACTGCCTCCTAGATTTTATGATAGACAAGTTAAGGAAATCCAGGCATATTCAGACTTGTTTCCTAGGTTTTGGGAAAGCAAATTTCAAAGGTTCATAGGAAAGATCGATAGGATACCATGAAGTAAAACGCTTCAGAGAAAATAACCCATAACGGGTGGGAAATGTTTGAGAATGCAGTTCTGAAGATACGAAAGGAAACAATGCCAGTGGAGAAGAAAAATGGGATTTGCCTGAATAGACTGATATGGATACAAAAGGAGCAAGATAGATTTTTAAAAGAAATAAGCAGAAGATGGAAGCAAGGCTAGGTAACAGAGGGTAAATATGAGTGTGTCACAATCCTGTAAATAGAGTGCAAGGAGAGCTGAACCTCAAAATGAGATCAAGATGGTGAGGAAATTAAGGACCCCCCCCCCAAAAAAAGGGGTGGTTTCCTTAGCCATATTGGGAAGAAAAAAAAAAGGAAGCTCAGAGAAGGCTGTGGACCTCTTCTTGGGTTGGGTGTAAAGACCATCGCCCACAACAAAGAAAAGGCAGAACTGTTCAATTCTAATTGTGCTTCTAGATTATCTGCCAAGAAGTATGACCTTTGTACTGAAAATGACAGAACTACAATGACTCAAAAGGAAGATGCATTAAGTAAGTGCAGGCTTTCATCACCTCATGCCTGGATTATTGCAATAACCTGCTGGTGGGTCTGCCTGCAACTAGTTTCTTCCTATTTCAGCCCTGCCTCTATTCAACCCCCAAAGTGATCCTCCTTTGAAGGTCCAATTATGTCATTACCTCACTTAATAAACTACAGTGGCTTCCTGTTGCTACCAGGAACAAATTCAAAATGCTCTGTTTGGCATTCAAAACCTTTCACAATCTAGCCCCCTCCTCCCTTTCCAGTCTTATTACACTTTATTCCCCAATATGAATTCTTCATTCCATAGACACTGGCCTTCACAAATAGACACTCCCTCTCTGGGCTCTGGGCATTTTCTCTGGCTACCCCCCCATCCCTGGCATGATCTCTGTCCTCATCTTCACTTCTTGGCTTCCCTTTTTTCCTTCAAATCTCAACTAAAATCCCATCTTCTACAAGAAGCATTTCTCAACCCCTTGTAATTCTAGTGCTTTCAATCTTTTAATTTCCTGTTTATTCTGTGTATAGCTTGTTTTTACATATTTGTTTGCTTGTCTCCTCCATTAGATTTGTGAGCTCCTTGGCTGTAGGGACTGTCTTTTACCTCTTTTTGTATCCCCCAACACTTAGCATAGTGCCTGATATATAGTAGGTGCTTGATAAATGCTTTTTAACTGCCCCTCCTAGCTTTTGTGTTATCTACAAATTTGTTAAGCCTTTAAAAAGCCTTTTTTAAAAGCATTTACGCCTTTATCTAGGTTCTTGATAAAAATGTTTAATAGCATAGGACCAGGCACAGATCTCAGGATTACTCCCCTGGAAACATTCTTCAAAGTTAATATCAGGCCTTAATGATTACTTTTTGGTTCCAACATACAGAATCATAGACATTTGAAAGAACTTTGGAGATTATCTAACCCAACTTTCCTATTTTATAGAAGAGGTTACTAGGATCCAAAGAAATTGTGACTTATCCATGGTCACATGGTTCATTAGTGACAGAGCCAAAAATATGATCAGAATCCCAATCGTATATTATTTCAATTGCGTGTGCTATGGTCAAAGCCTTTAGCAGCAACACCCACATTGAAATAAAGAATATGTCCATTAAAGTTAATTCTTATCTATTTAAAATACTTCAAAATATTTTATAAAATATTTAGGCTTACTCTCTCCTCCCTCTTCGTGTATTTGACATTAATAAAAATGCATCTGGTTAAAATGTTTATGTTAATGAAATTTTCACTTAACTCTAACTGATCTTCAACAGATTAACCCAAATTAGTAAAATATTACTTTAAAAACTTTGAAGCCAATGAGAGTCTGCAGGGAGGGGCTACCATCCAGGCAATAAAAGACAACAAAGAGCTCAGGAAGAGGAAAAGAAAGGGAAGGAAGATCAGATAAATAAGGAGACAATAAGGTAGAAGAATTCAGAAGGGTCAAGTGATTCTCATGTTAAAAATAAGGCCAAATAGAAGCTTGTTTAAAATCTGTTTTTCTTATATATGGAAGAAGAAGCAGCACCAAAGGGGGTGGAAAAACCATAAAAAGGCAGTGTTACTCTCCAGGTACCATTGCCTTTTTATGGTTTTTGTTTTTGTTCTACAAACAGCTTCCGATGACAATATAAATGTAAAACAGTCATTAATAAAATGGAAACTGTCCAAAGACAATTATAGGTTAAGAAGTTTCTCCTAATTGATTTTAATCTAGTGTTTTCCTTTTGCTAATTTAATCATAAATCCATTGTTCTTTTTTGCTCTCCATTTGAGGATTATTACAAATGACCCTGAAAGGTAGGTAAGTTTTAATATATGCTGTTAGATACCATTATGTACATATATAATTAGACACATGGTTGGTTGGTTGTTGTCCTTTGTCCTTGAAGAGGACCAAAATGATATCACTATTTTAGAGTCAAGTTATAGTGTGTCCAACTATGGCTGATTAGACCAATACAAGCTTGGACTGCTCTACCACAGGTTGGGCACAAATAGTCCATGTGAACATTTGGGGTGGATTCTCTAAATTTGCACATCTCACCTTTCTTTTGAGCTACTGCAATTCTGCTTTGCTCATAGAGCACAGCATCTTCTCTAATGAGGGCACACCATGCTGGGTGGTTCTGTGCCAGTGTCTTCCATGTCACACCGTCAATTCCAAAGGTCTTAAGAAACATCTTGAGAGTGTCCTTGTATCATTTTTTCCGACCACGTTATGCGCACTTGTCCTGTGTGAATTCTTCATAAAATAGTCTTTTTGGTAATACATTTGGCATTCGAACAACATGGCCAGCCCATCAGAGTTGTAGACATATACGTGTAGTAAGACTTGACTTAAACCTGTGGTTGATAAAATAGAAACTTTGAAACAATGTTAGAACTATAGTTATTAATTCATAATTTTATAGAGAGCTTACTACAAATGAATATTTGAAACTTGAAAAGTTCAGGTAACGTGCAACTCAAAAATTGGGAATGTAAACTTTGAAATATTTATAAATGTGATCAAGAATTAAAAACTTGTGTTATCTTGCAGTGCCTACAAATAGATAATTCAGGCTCTATTTAAACTCTTTTCCTTCGAAGGAAAGAAAGCTAAAATGTAACCTAAGAATATACAGAAAAACATGCAAAGGAAACTTTTTAATTAATCTGGAATTTGATATAATCAGCCCATAAGCAATTGACCACTGTAGAATATCTTAAACAATTAAAATTTAAGTCATTTAATAGTTTTACAAACCAGAGGGAATTTTTTTCAAGCTTACTCTTTATAATTTACTTTTAGCTCCAGAAGATTATTAGTAAACAGGATGACCTGATGGGAGCTACAAGGGCTGAAACAGTGTGCCAGGTATGTAGCAGTAACCAAAATATAGTATTTGCTCAATTTCTGCAACATGTACTTACCTCTTTTTTCTAGAGGTTATCAAAATGTACTTTGTACAATATGTATATAACTTTTCCCATAATGAATCTTGTATATTAATAGTGGGATACAACCATGTCACCAACTACTCAAAAACCTACAATGATTTGCCATTGCTCAGAGGAGAAAATATAAACTGCCTGGCATTCAAGGCCTACCACAACGACCCTGAGTTCAAACCTATCTTTCCAACCTGATTTCATTCTGCTTCCCTTCATGCACTCTATGTTAGGGTCAAATAGTCATCCTTGAGCTTGTCCTACCCACTGCTTCCTCTTTGCTTTAACGTCAGCTTCTCTGCCTAAGAAGCACCTTTCTGTACTTCTTTCTGTTTAAATCTTCTCTCCTCCAAGGCCCAATTCAGATGCCACTTCCTCCATGAAGTTTTCCCTTACCTCCCACAGATAAAAGTGATCTCTCCTTTCTCAAATTCTTGTATCTCTTCTTTGCACTTTCACATCCTATATAGCTCAAGGGAGTCAAGGGGGTTAATGAACTGGGAATCCAAGGTATTTGAAGGATCATTATCAGTATTAATATTGAAGTCCCAAGTATATAGGGAGGATTTGGGACCAAGAGGAAGACTGTGAGCCATGTGCTAAACTCCTTTGGAAAGGGAGAAGGGCCAGCAACCATACAACCTTAATCTGATTAGAATGAGATAGTCAGATGGACTGAACCTCAAAGGAGGAGAGGTAGCTGATTGGTGGCAGCAGACAGAGAGTCTAAAAGTGGCTATGAGAAGCAAGAAATATGCCTACTCTTCCTCCCTCCCCAATATAATTATAGGGATAATAAAAGAGATACTCAGTGCTGGATAGGATGGCCAGATATTCAGTGTCTTCTGAGGGGAATAGAGTAAGATTCCAGAGGGCAGAGCCCCTCCTTTCAATATAGCTAAAAAAGTTCAGGATCATACATGTTGTCCCACCCTCACACCTACCCCATTCCTCAACCATCTCGTCATCCTACAGTTGTAGTAAAAAAAATTTTTATTATGGTAATTTTGGATACTTTTCTAAGGTACACGTATTTTTTTTCTTCAAAGAAATAAAGAAATCTCATTTTAAGCATGTATCTTATATTTGAGCCAATATACATCTCTTTTCTCCTCTCATACCCCCAGCTCCTCTCTCAGGAATAAAGATCTGTTGCTGCATACTCCTTTGGTTATAACATATCACATTATGATTTATTTCATCACTGATTTGCCCCTTCCCAAGATTAATTCGATGTTATGGTGGCAAACACATTTTAAAAAATTATATACTTTCCCACTTGCTTTGGGTTCTGCCTTTCAGTAGAGGCTCACTAGCTCCTATTCCTACAGGAGATCATCTGTTATCACATACTATCTAATCACATTACTTCAAACCCTCAGTCTTTTATTTTGTCACCTTTGGCCCACTCTTCATCATCCTGCATATCATCCCCTTGCTGATGAAAAAAATACAAAAAATATTCTATAGCATCTCAAATATTATATCAACTACTACTAGAAAAATTGACTTGCCTTGTTACCAAGTGAGGAATTCTTTGTTTTAATAACTCTGTGTACCCTTCCACCCAGCACACACCCTTTTTTCCTGAATGATTCTACCCTTTAGTACTTAGCTCACATAGTACATAATCCATGCTATGTTCCCCTATAGAACGTAAGCTCCTTAAGTAAGGACAAGAAGTATTTCATTCTTGTGTCTTTACTTTCATTGTCTAACACAGTGCCAGGTACATAATTGGCACTTAATAAATACTTGTTGATTGATGAGACAGAGAGAGAAAGAGAGAGAGGAAGGTAGCAAAAGGAAGAGTAGGACATGGATGATTATTTAGTGAAGGAGACTGGAAAGAGCAGTCTAATAAGTAGGAGGAGCAGCAAAATAGAATGTGTCAGGAAAACCAAGAGAAGAAAGTGTGCAAGAGGAAAAGATGATTAACAGTGTCAAATGTTGCAGAGAGGTCAAGAAGAATAACTGAGAAATGACTGTTTGGTATTTAGGTGATTTAACTTTGGAAATATCAATTTCAGTTGAATGATGAGGTTGGAAATCAGATTGCAAGAGACCAAGAACTCAGTCGAATTCAAGTTACTAAGTATAAACAGCTTTTTTCAAAGAGTTTGATTATGAAAGGAAAAACAAATATACGATTTAAAGCTTTATCCCCTCAGAAATCATTTAGTTCAAATTGTTCATCTTAAAAATGAAGAAACTAAGGCTTAGAAAATTTAAATGTTTGTCCCAGGTAATAAAAAGTTTAAATATTTTGGCCACATGATAAGAAGACAGGACGCATTGGAAAAGACCCTGATGTTGGGAAAGATTGTAGGCAAAAGGAGAAGGGGATGGCAGAGGATGAGATGGACATATAGTGTCATGGAAGCAACAAACATGAGCTTGGACAGACTTCAGGAGATAGTGGAGGACAGGTGGGCCTGGAGTACTTATGGTCCATGGGATCATGAAGAGTCAGACACAGCTTAACAACTGAACAACACAAAGCCCAGGTAGTAAGTATCAGAGCTGGGATTTTTATACAAGTCATCTGATTATTAATAGACTGTTCTTTCCACTAAACTATTCTGCCCAGTGCTTTTGCCCAATAATACACTTTTAAATATAAAGAATATTCATTTGTTCTACAAATCTACCATTCTCTAAAGAGAATGTTCCTGCTGAACTCACTTAAGAAAAAAAAAAGCTTCTAATTTTGATATTCTCCACATGCCAAGAGCACAAACTGATAGAACATGTTTTAAATACTCTTCTAATTAGATTAGATGTTAAGATTGTTGAGTATAAAACTAAATACAGCTGTAGTTTTACCAAAACTTCATTTTTAATTACCATGGGTATTGTTTTTCAGTCTATTCTTGACAACACAGCTGTTTCCAAGTTTTCCTTGCACTTTCTGTTGTTTAAAGGATTTTTCATTTGTGAATATATTTTCTTCTGATTTTATATAATATTTCTCCCCATAAGATCAGACACAAAAGGATTAATCATTGCTAAAAAATAAAAGGAAATAAAGGAAATATAAGAACCAAAATATCTTTTAAACATTTTCTTATCTAAATACTATTTTTTGTGGTGCCAGACATTCAAATCCTTATCTTTCATAACCTTAAAAATGCAAACCTTTTCATAGACTCTTTAAAAAAAGTAACTTAGAGTGGAAATGTGACAATTACCTAAAAACATTTATTTACAGATGTTACCTGATATAGAACCATCTACTATAAGAATTTTTTCTCTTAAAACCTGTCCTGTCATGTTCTTTATTCCTACTGAAGGCACTAATACCTTCCTAGTAACCCAGGTCTGTAACCCTCTGGCCTTATAGCTCCCCAGACTGACCTATTGGTATATATGCCTTCGTCTACAGTGTCCAACTCTAACATCTAGCATTTCCTGGACTGCAAACATTTCCTGACCATTACTCTTACAGGGCTGAGCAGTCACATTTCAAGAATTTAGAGTACTGGGCATTCTACGACTTTCTGGAGGCAGGTCCTTAGAGACTTGAAATATATTCATACTGATTGAGAGTTCCAGCTGGACAAGCCCTGAGGTTATTTCTTATGTTGATATGAAAGGAACTAACAGCTCTAGTTTCCAGGACAGCCATACCCTGTCCCCTGTTTATAAGGACTTATTTTAGGGCATATCTAGTAGTAACCCGCAGACCATTTTTAGGTAACGTTGAAAGCACTGGAGAATGGTTATATTCATCTTGTAGTATCTAGGTGAAATCATGGTTAATTCACATGAGCATAGCAAGCTATTCTTTCCTTCCTTCCTTCCATCCCAAAAAGTGTAATGGAAAAAAAAAATTGTTGGTAACCAGTTCTTCACATCACAACATCACAGGGCACAGGCAAATAAATTCAAAGTGTACACAAAATAATATCATAGGATGGAGTTGGCAAAAAACACTAATAAAGAATTCTTTATTTGGAGTCAAAGGATATAGATTCAAATCCTAGCTCTACTACTTACTACCCATGTAATCTTGAGCAGATCACTTAACCTCTCTCAGCCTTAATTTTTTCTTCTGTAAAATGAGAAGATTGGGCTAGATGATCTCTAAGGTCCCCTCAAGTTCTAAAGTTATGATTTTATGCCCCCCACCCCAACTCAAAGAATGTAGCAACAGCCATGAAAAGCAACTAGTTGGCACAGTGGATATAATGCTAAGCCTGGAGTCAGGAAAACCTGAGTTCATATGTGAACTCAGACACTTACTAGCACTATGTTCCTAAGCAAGTCACTTTACTTGTTTGCCTCAGTTTCCTCCTCTGTAAAATGGGGATAATAATAGCACCTACCTCCCAGGGCTGTTGTGAGGATCAAATGAAATAATAATTGTAAAGCATTTAGCACAGTGTTTGACACATAGGAGACTCTATATAAAAGTATATTCTCTTCCCTCACTTCCACTCCATGCTTAAGGATCTGTGCAGGTGAAAAGATGTACCCCATTGCTACCAAAAAGGTAGGAAGCAAAGAATGAGGGAGGAATCCAGAGACAAGCTACTAGGACCATAATAGAAAAATTGAAAGATAAAAACTGCAGAAGAAAAGGGTTAAGTATAAGCCTCGCTCCAAAAATAACTCATATATGGGAGGGGAAGTGAGTGGAAATGCACAAAAATGATATAACATATTGAATAAGTATTTTACCATGAAGGAATATAAACCAGAAGTCCTCAATGAGAGATAATTGGCAGATTCCCCAAAGATCAAGGAATAACAGTAAAAAAAAAAACTCCAGAATGGTTTAAAAAATCCATAAAACTTCTAAAAGAAGGTTTTAGCATGGAAATTATGTCAGAAATCAGCTCCTAAACCTAATAAAAACAATAACAAAGTAGTAAAAACTCTGAAAAAGAGAATGGCAGATTTGGAACTCAAATACAAAAGTAG